TTTGGCGTTGAAGTGGCGAGAAAGGTACCCTCCTTCACTGCTGGTGGGAGTCCTGAATGGTTCAGCCCTTTTGGAAAACAGTATGGACAATTATCAAAAAATTAGAAATTGAGCTGAGCTCCCATTTGACCCAGCAATACCACTCCTGGGAATATATCCCATAGAGGCAAAAAAGTAAAGTCAAAGTGACATCTGCACTTGTGCGTTCATTGCAGCACTATTTACAATAGCTAGAATCTGGAAAAACCTGAGTGCCCAGGAACAGATGACTGGGTAAAGAAACTTTGATGCATCTACACAGTGGAGTACTATGCAGCTGTTAAAAAAGATAAAGTCATGAAATTTACATATAAGTGGTACTACATGGAAGGTATCATACTACGTGAAATGAGTCAGAAAGAGAGGGACAAGCTTAGAAAGACTGCATTCATCTGGAGAATATAAAGTAACAAAATAGGAGACTAACACTCAAGAATAGCTGCAATAAGTACGAGGAAGTTCACTCTTTGACTTGGAGGCCAGCGTCACACGCTAGGGAAAAAGTCAGCTTAGATAGAGAAGGGAACACCAAGTAAAGGGTGTTGGGAGGATCCTCCCAGGATGGGAGATGCATGCTGAAAGTAGACTATAGACCAAATATGATTGCCACTCAATGCCTCTTTTGCAAATCACAGCACCCAAAAGGAGAGATAGAACAAAAGGAAATGCCCTGCCACAGAGGCAGGGTGGGATGTGGGGGGTTCGGGGGGTGGGAGAGATACTGGGACCGTTGGTGGTGAAGAATGGGCACTGGTGGAGGTATGGGTACTCGATCATTGTATAACTGAAACACAAACATAAAAACTTCTTTTCATCTTTATTTAATTTTTTTTATTAAAAAATTTTTAATAGTGAGACATCATGAGATACAGTTGCAGACTTACACATTTTTGTGCTTGGGTTTCAATTATACAATGATCAAATACCCATCCCTCCACCAGTGCCCATTTCCCACCACTACGGATCCCAGTATCCCTCCCACCCCCAAAAAACATAAAAACTTTTAAGTCCATAACTGTACCTCATGGTTTTTCACTAATTAAATTTTTTTTAAAAAGTGAAATAAAATCATTTTAATTAGAAGCTCAGTAAAACTCATAATAGGTCATCTCAAGAATAGAAATTGTCATCAGATAACAATTGCTATTTGACTTGTACTTATCATGTGCATTATATATTGTCTCCTGTACTTTTCAGAATATTTTAGGTGGAAAATACTAGTACTGTGATTATTTATATTTTACAATGAAAGAGAATGACTTTGAGAAGTTACGTAATATGCTGTACTAGTTACAGTATGTATTACATATTAAGACTCAGATAAAGCAGAATTTTTAGTTACAGAAACAAGCTGCGAGTAAATCAACAATAAAATGACTGAACAGAAAACCATATGCAATATATTAATTACAGTATATTTGGAGGATTAATTTGAAAATAGAAAATGAGATTAAAAATAAACTCTGGATTTCCCCAAATTTAGCAGATCTTATTGTTTCAGATATACATTAGCCTGAAAAATATGGTGATTCCAACATGACTCAGTTTAGCTAAGAAATGGTCAATTATGATCAAAAGTTTGCCATTTAGAGCTTTAGCAGCTAACTGGACTGAGCAAAGATGAAGAAACAACTTAAAATTGATTTTTTATGATGTTTTAGTGGTAGAGATTCATTTTCTATTGCGTAATACTTTTTCTTTGTAAAATTTAATATAATTTATTTTTTTGTCTATTCCAACACCCACTAGTCTACCCACTTCACTAGTCTGCATTTCCCACCACCAATGACCCCAGTTTCTCTCCTGCCCTTACCCTCACCTTCCTCTAAGTCAGTTACTTTTCTTCCCTTCCACCCTCCCTCTCTCCCATGTTTCTCCCCCTCCTTCCTCCTTTCTCTTTCTTCAAGTATTGCTGATTTCGGCTCAGCTTGGGAGGTTGCTTAACATTTTAAATGTTAATGTACTATTAGTAATTCCTAATTCATCTTGCAAGCATATTTGAAGATTGTATACTTCATCATTGTGAAGAAATAGTCAAGACTAAGTACAGTATTTTCGTGTGGTTTTGTATTTCCTGTCTTCCTGTCATAAACATGCAATACTGGGCAGCGATGTCAATATTTTCTCACAGACAGGCACTAAACATAGGGGAGACGATGAGCCATCACTTAAATTAAATTCCATACACTATTTTCCTCATTATAAATCTAAGCCATCTGACCTAACATCAGTTGCATCTATTTCACGAAATATAGGAATCAGTGGATAGTCTAACCCTGCATGATGTGTACAAACTATTTTATGGCATCTCCTTACAAAATAAGAGTTAACTTAAAGAACTCTGTCTGGCCAGAAGTGGGAGAAAACTCTCATCAAGCAGAAAGGAAAGTTTGCTTGTATAAATTAAGCAACCCTTGAATAAACAAGCAGTAATTGCTATAGTAACTTTGCAAATCACAGAACAATGGGGCTACATTTTTTAATGTTCAAGAATGTCAGTTCATTGCTTCCTGTTTACTTGCAATTATTTGAAAATAACCTGGATAACTTTATAATCAAGGTATTTCCTCTTGGCTCCCTGGTATACATCAGACTGCCTGAGGAGAGGATTGACATCCTAAGGTGTCCAAAGCATAATCAGTCTTAAGAGCTGTTAATGTTAAAATCCTGACTAATGTTAATCAAAATTACATAAAAAGAAAATCTTGGCTTGTTAAACACACACATTCGTACACAGACACACACATAGATCTTCCCAAAGATCACATTAGTTTTTAAAACACTACAAGTAAATGATACTGTCTAAATGGTTGACAATTTCTACAACACTTAGTTTCTATTCCCTAAGACACTTGTTTTGTCTAAGCAGTTCCTCTGTACTGCATTTTCAGGCTCTCTATTTATAGGGTTAAGTCCTCTTCAGATTAATATTCTCCTGTGATTTAATTCGCATCTTAAAAATACACAGAAAATAAAAAATAAACTGTCTCCTCACTTCAATATTCTCATCCAATGTTTAAATCATCTGTTCTCAACAATAATGCTTCTGAAATGTGCTCTCCATTGTTATGGGCTAAGTGGTTGTGTCCTCCCCAAAATAAATTAGTTGAAGCTTTAACATCTAAAGTGACTATATTTGCAAATTTTATTTGCAGGTCTCTTTTGGTAGGTTATCACAAAAAAAAAAATCACAACCATCCTGTTATTCGTTGATTGCCTGGAGCAGGCCCCAGTAACGTCTCTTCGTCCTAGCCGAGATTTTTTTTAGAAAGTGCCATATTCAAGGCTCTTTCAGAGTTAGGAGAATGAGACCCTTCAATGTTCCTGATATTTGGCATACTGGGTATGCCACGGGGAGTTTGCCAGACTTTGCCGTGTGGGCAGGTTACATTCCGTAGCCTGCCAGTTTGTCTAAAGTAGGAATGAGATGATAAGATGTCACATGGCCGCAAATGTGGCTGCGCCCTTCTGGGAGCTGGGTTTTATAGTCTGTGAATCTTGGCCGTTGATGGAATTACACAGCACCAGGGGGCTAGTTGGTGGGTGTGACCCCCGCCTACTGGAATTCGGAGGATCTGGGTGGAGGATGCTCAGCCCCAATCTGAGTAGGCTTGGAGTTCTCGGCCCTGGAACCCGCATGGCTTTGTCCCTCTGCCAGTACCTTCATGTGTGCGGAGAGTGGTCTCAGCATGGTGGTGGTTGGATCTGGAGGTCTTCGGCTGCCGGAGCCCTGGTCGGGGCGGGGAGGAAAACTCAACCCGCTCCCCTCCAAGGGGCCCCGGTGAGGACAGCCAGGCTCGGGGGTCATAGCCACCAACTGGCCCCTTGGCACCGTGTAATCCCATCAATGGCCAAGATTCAGAGACTATAAAACCCAGCTCCCGGAAGAGAACAGCGCAGTCTCCTGCCCCAGCGCCTGGCTGTCCACGCCGGGGCCCCTTGGAGGGGAGCGGGTTGAGTTTTCCTCTCCGCCCCAACCAGGGCTCTGGCAGCCGAAGACCTCCAGATCCAGCCACTACCTTGCTGAGACCACTCTCCGCACACATGAAGGTACTGGCAGAGGGACAAAGCCACGCGGGTTCCAGGGCCGAGATCTCCAAGCCTACTCAGATTGGGGCTGAGCATCCTCCACCCAGATCCTCCGAATTCCAGTAGGCGGGGGTCACACCCACCACCTGGCCCCTGGCGCCGTGTAATCCCATCAACAGCCAAGATTCACAGACTATAAAACCCAGCTCCCGGAAGAGAACAGCACAGCGCAGAGTCTTGGTACGTTATGGTTAGAATAAATCATCTCTATCCCATCTTCCCTCCCTTTCTTCTTCTCACTTATTTCTTATTTTTTCCTCTTTGTCTCCTTTTCTCTGTTTCTTAGTATCTATGTCTGTCTCTGTCTTTTCCTGTCTCTGTCTCTGTCAGTATCTCTGTGTCTTTCTGTCTGTCTCTGTCTCTTTCTCTTTCACATACACACACAAACACACACAAACGCATGCATGCAAGCACACACGCACTCATGCATACATACACACTGTACCCACCAAGATAGTGACGTGAGGACACAGAAAATGTGGTAGTCTTCAAGCCAGGGAAAGGCCTCATCCTAAAGAAAATTATCAGCATCATTCCGTCTTCCAGAGCTATTAGAAACATAATCCTGTTTTCAAACCACTCTATGTCATTATGCTAGAGCGTATAGAACGAAGTGAATCATTCATACTTACTCCATTCTAGTGTCTATTCTCAATGGTACACCAGAGCAGTTATTTCCAAGAGCATCATCATCAGTGTTGACAAATCTCAGGAACCCATCTCTGTTCATAACCTACTTTACTTCATACTGAACTTCAAACTTTTGTCAACACCTTCTATTTTGGTCTCAGTAAAAACTCTGTTTTGAGACCTCTGGCACTGTGACTTTCTGAGTTTACTGACAGATTTAGTGTATCAAAATATTATTAAAAATACTTCCCTGGCAGGACAGATACCAAGATTATGCAGGTGGTTATCTCGAGGTAAGGCTTATCCATTGCACTCCAGATATGCTGACCCCTGTGATTTTCCCGAATATGGGTTTTTCCCAGTTGGGCTGCATAATTTGTGGTTGGGGGGACTGTGTTTGCACTCTCCCTCGAATAAAGAAATATACATATACATATTATTAAAATGTTATTATAACTACTCACTTTCATGAAAAGTTAACGTCTCCTTAAAGTTTTACAGTCATTGACTCCACCTATTTTATATAAATAGCATAAAATATTAGAGCATAACATCTTAGAACTGGAAAAAAGACAGAAATTTTTAAAATTTTTCCCTAATGAGCTATATTATTCTGTGGAAAACAAAGTATATTATTTTATCTACCTACATATTTCTTAAAAGTTTCAATTTCTTTCAATCACAACAAACAATTATAACTGACTTTACAGATGGAGTAGCTTAAGTTTTATTGTCAGTTTATTTTCAGTCAAGGAATAGTTAATTGATGCAGCTGAATTGGGAGAGACTGAAACAGTAGTTTTCTCTCTTTCATGAACTCCTATGACATTGATATCCAGAAAAGAATGGCTCTACAGAATCACATATATCACTTTCCTCTCCTTGTTCATCCATTTTCTCAAGCGGGCCCAGTAATATCTCCATTTTGAGACTTTGTTGTTACTGTGTTTGGCATATTGGATACGTCACGGGGAGCTTGCCAGGCTTTGCCCTGTGCGTGAGATACTCTCAGTAGCTTGCCAGGCTCTCCGAGAGGGGTGGAGGAATCGAACTCGGGTCGGCCATGTTGGCTGCATGCAAGGCAAACACCCTACCCCCTGTGCTATCACTCCAGCCCCTCTACAGAATCATTATTTTATAATTAATAAGAAGGAAGAAACTAACAAATGTATTTATAATGATCAAAAATCATACTTACAAGTCTTAGTCAATAATCCATTGCTGTAGTTTTTGTACTAGATATACAGTATTATTATAACTCTTTCATTACGTCTAACAAAATCAGTGCCTAGTGCTACATATCTACCTATTCCAGTTCAACGATTTTAATTCATTCAAATTTCTGAGACTGTGAACTATGCTATTTGTAACACCATTGAGTACCTAGTGGGAACTTGTTCTTTCTATAATCTTCAACCAGTCCATTTTTCTCACGATTTCCAGATGAATAAATGATATAATCTAGGACATCCTCGAGGTAGAAGATTCCTCCTTAGGTTATCCTGACACTTAAATAAAATTGCTCCTCATTCCAGTTTCTTCCAGAAAAATGTGTACAAAATGTAATACATCATATCATATATACATTACATAATATTTTATCTATTACATAGCACATATTATTAATAATATCATGTAATTACAAATTTATTCTCTTCAGCTGCAAACTTCTTGTGTTTCTTACTGGCAAATGTTATAAGCTCACTATGTCATTCCAATCTTTTTCTTCTATGGCAATTAGCTCCAGAATTTCATCTATATCAAATGCACAGTAATATCCTCATTGGTATTATTACTCAATGATTCTACTGGTAGTTCTTTTTCTCAAACAAATTTTAATTTCTTGACATTTGGTGATCTCAGTATCTTCTTTTTAGCATTAAAGCAAATTTAGTATAAAACTTGGCATATTATCTACTTAATTATTCTCCAACTGCCATAGTGATTTCTAGAAATACCAGAATAAGTTTCATGGCATACTTTTCCTAAACTATACCAAAAGAAGGGAGTCTTATCTGACTACCTTCTAAGACATAAATCTCTTAGCTTAGATAATCCATTTTATATGAAAAGGTATTCTGTCATTGGTTTACCAAATATTGAGTTCCTACTACTATGCAAACATGGTGTGCTAGATGCAAAAAAGGATAAAGGTGCAGGCATAGAAGTTTCTCAAAGAAACTTACGTTCCAAGATTTCAATTGAGTAGGTTGGCATGAACTCAAATAATGGGTAAACAATGACAAACTCAGGCCAGAGTAGTATAGTGGGTAGGGCGTTTGACTTCCATGCAGCAGACCTGGGCATCTCATATAGTTCTCGGAATACTACCAAGAGAGATATCTGAACACAAGCAGAATCAGCCCTGGCCCCAAGGCAGAATATAAATAAATAAATAATAGCACACTCCTATATGTACTTTGAAGAGTAAGAACATGTAACAACAACAACAACAACAACAAGAAACAACATTTAATAGGAGTTAGGTAAAACCTACCTATAGTCTTTCCTTTCACTAGTGAAAGTTTGAATTAAAGGAGTATCACTGTATCACTGTCATCCCGTTGTTTGTCCTTTTACTCTAGCGGGCGCCAGTAACGTCTCTATTCCTCCCAGCGCTGAGATTTGAGCAACCTCTTTGTACTTGTCTTTTCCCAATGATTGGAGGCTCTTTCAGGGTCTGGGGAATGAGTCCAGTTGTTGTTACTGTTTTTGGCATATCAAATATGCCAAGCTCCACGGGGAGCTTGCCAGGCTCTCTTCTGAGAGCAGGATACACTCAGTAGCTTGCAGGGCTCTCTAAGAGTCGTAAATTAAAGGAGTAACGAATAAAAAGATTTAAATGAAGTAGAGAAAATATGTTCCAAGCAGACTGACTGGGACATATCAGCTGCTGTAAGAAGAACTAAAAGAATCTCAGAGTAGTAGGAGATGGGGAGTGGTAGTGAATGAGATTGATGTTTGATTGGTACATATTGGACAATAGGCTGTGAAAACTGGATATTTAGAGTAAATATGGGAAACATGTAAGGTTAAACATTGAAGACTTAAGGTAAGTTAGTAATAACAAAATCACATTGAAAGAAAGGTGTAAATTTGAAAAATTTAATTTTGAACATCCTAAGCCCAGAGATGGTCTCATTTATTCTATGGGTTTTCCTCCATTTCAAAACCAGATAGCCAGGAAACTCAGACTATTTTACTTTACCACGTAGATCAAGAATTCTACCATACCAAGCAATTTGAGTCCTCAATAAACCACAATTATTCCCTAGAAAGAGAGGCAAAGTAGCCTCTAATAGTGTCCCTGGGTTATACCTATAATTTTCACTACAAAAAAGTATAGTTTATTCCTCATAATTAACACATTCTTGTTTCATCATCTAGCACTGAACCAAAAAATAATTCATTTTTTTCTAGTAGAAATATATACTTGAACGTAATGCTACAATGTTAGGGATTTAGCATTATAGGGATCCTATAAATAGTTTAGCTCATTAGATATTAGTTATATCACCTTACCTGAGTGTATCATATTGTATGAAAAAGCATCTAGGGACTGTTTATGAGTAGTGAGAAAATTGTTTCATTACTTGACCCAGGAATGACAATCTCCGCTCCTCTTTGCAATGGAACCCATTGGAAGAGACTGAAAAGTGCAAGACTCTCTTGCAACATGCTAGTGACTAATATTTTCCCCTCATTTCTTTGTCACAGCAAGAAAACAAGAACAACCTCCTTACACCATTCTCAAGTGGTTTTAAAAGCTCTTTATACTACTCAGCATATTAATGATTTCTATTTATAAATTACACCATTGAAAGGCCAAAATGACAAGTAAATAGAACACTGAAACTTGTCTTTGTCAGAAACTTGCCTTTCCCACATCCAAAATGAACAAAGGTGAGGCTTTTTCCAGTTGACATTGTACTTGTCAGAATCTGGCTTATGAGATCTCTAAGACCTTGAGTGATGAGATGGCCTTTCCTTTCTCCCTCCCTTCCTCCCTCCCTCCCTCCCTCCCTCCCTCCCTTCCTTCCTTCCTTCCTTCCTTCCTTCCTTCCTTCCTTCCTTCCTTCCTTCCTTCTTCCCTTCCCTCTTTCCTCTTCCTTCTTCCTTCCCCTTTCCCTTCTTTTCTCCTTCCCTCCTCACTTCCTCCCTTCCTCCTTTCCTCCCTTCCTCCCTCCTTCTCTCTTCCCTCCCTTCCTTCCTTCCTTCCTTCCTCCCTTCCTCCCTTCCTCCCTTCCTCCCTTCCTCCCTCCCTCCCTCCCTCCCTCCCTCCCTCCCTCCCTCCCTCCCTTCCTTCCCTCTTTCTTCTTCCTTCCCTTCTTTTCTCCTTCCCTCCTCACTTCCTCCCTTCCTCCTTTCCTCCCTTCCTCCCTCCTTCTCTCTTCCCTCCCTCCCTCCCTCCCTTCCTTCCTTCCTTCCTTCCTTCCTTCCTTCCTTCATTCTTTCTTCTTCCTTCCTTTCTTTTCTCCTTCCCTCCTTACTTCCTTCCCTTCCTCCTTTCCTCCCTTCCCCCCTCCTTCTCGCTTCCCTCCCTCCCTCCCTTTCTTCCTCCCTTCCCTCTTCCATCTTCCTTCTTCTTTCCCCTTCCCTCCTTCCTCCTTCCCTTCTTTCCTCATTCCCTCCTCCCTTTCTCCCTTCCTCATTTCCTCCCTCTCTTCTTCCCTCCCTCTTCCCTCCTTCCCTCCTTCCATTCCTCCCTCCTTCCCCTCCCTCCCCTCCCTCCCTTCCTTCCTTCCTTCCTTCCTTCCTTCCTTCCTTCCTTCCTTCCTTCCTTCCCTCCCTCCTTCCTTCCTCCCTTTCTTGTAGATCTCTGACTTCATAAATCAAGAAAGCTCTTCATTAAAGTGCAAATCATCTAATTTTTTTTAATTGGAGGTGGTCATCATGCTGCTTTTGTGATTTTCCCCTTTATCTGAATTACAGGATATTCAATGTATTGATTCCATTCATAGATTAATGCCATCAGATCAAATAAAAAATCTTAAAAGAACATTAAACAGACATATTTTTGTCTATTTTTCTAGAAGTTCAGAGAAACTAAAAGAATGAAATGCATACTTGCAGAACATTACTCTCATATACTTATAGATTTTCACATTAGATGTTAATTTGTATTTCTAAATCGCTTTAGAAAAGATATGAAATTGTTGACAGTTTTTGTTTGGCTGTTTTCCCATCAGAATATAATCACTTAAAGAATGGTCCTACATACTGCTGTCAGAGAAATGGCAGCAGAGGGAAACAAGTGGTATTTGCACAAATGAATACACACATCTATTTATTTTAAAAGGCAGAATAAAAGCTTGTATTTTCAAGAACTCATTGTTGACTGTTGTTTGACTAATCTGTAAATATAGATTATGACAAGTACGATAAATTATAAAACTTATCAGAATTGAAAAG